CCACCCCGTTTGTGTTGTAGAACAACGAATTCCTTTAAGCCTTTGTTGGCCCTGAGTGATAGCCTGTGTCGAAGCAGTCCGCCTCCTTAGCGATCTCAAATGTGTTAAACGGAGTGTAAAACATTCGTCAGTACCTGCTGTTTTTTTTCTCCTTCAGATATAAAAGAGTGCTCAAATAATCCTTCACCTTGTAAGAATGGCGGAACTTGCAATGAACTGCCCGGAAGTTACAACTGCAGCTGCCAGCAGGGATGGACAGGAGACGATTGTGAGACAGGTAAACTTTGTCAGGGGATTCTCGTGGTCTAGAGGTCACGATGTTCGCTTCTCTTTCAAAGGAGTTCCGGATGCGAAACCTGACAGCGACGGAAAATTTTCGTCCCTGAAATGTTCACCTTTCACCTCCTTTTTTGCTCTCTAACCATGATCTGTCGTCCACTTTCGTATCCACACCCCCCCCCCCCCCCCCTCTTCTGGGCTCCTGACTCTTTCTCCTGCCTTTCTACTGCCACTCCTTGGCTCCTTCTTACTGCTGTCTTTCAGCCACACCCCTAATCTTAGGGTAGGTAAGCTCTAACACCTAGCCTTCTTGGATAAGGGCAAAAATCTCGGGGGTCCTGTGTGCAAGTTGAACACATTAAAGATCCCTTGGTGGTCAAAAATCAATAAGACTAGGCTTCGGCTGCCACCAAGGCAAAATTCAAAATTAATACAGTTGTCTCCGTCTTAGATCCCACGGCTTACGATCCTGGTTCGCTTAAGATCCCGCTGTCTAAGAAAACAATTTTTCCTATACAAAAGTCACCCCTAAGATCCCACTTTGATTCACCCTGAAGGTCTACATTCAGCCATGATCCTGCATCACAGATCATAATTTACAGAACAAAAACCCAAGCGCAGCCGATCAACCAAGAGTGAAAAGTTGAGATCATTGAACAGCCCGTCGCGTGAAAGACCTGCCGTTCTTGTGAATGTGATCAAATAAACGTTGTAAAATTTTATGAAACGCACAATGCTCCGAACAAGATCACACCGGGGTGTGAATTCACCAACTCATTTGTTTTCCCAACACATCGCACTCACATCTGAGCTCTCCACCTAAACTTACATCACTCGCATGGTGGGTGGGGGCCAACAGGCTCGCTTCAGGTGGGACCACATCGAACTGTGAACTCTTCCTTGACCATTGCAGCAGTTATCTCAGCTCCCGAATTTGGGAGACAAACTGAATTTCTATTGGTGTGGTCACAACGTAATGCTGTATAAAAGGCCGGGGATCTCGGTCAGAGACGGAAAGCTATACGTTTTGGATAGGTAAAGAAGAGGTGTAAATGGATCAGCGTAGATCTTGAGACTTACGATAGGATAATAAGTGAAAATGGCATGTCTCATGCCATGTCACTGTGACTGGTCATCCAGGTTGACCACTCTTAGCTCGTCATATGTCACATAATGTAATAAACCTATCCCGGGTTCACGTCAGTTCATGTTAGATTGAAGGGAAACCATTTTACTGGTTGTGGGCCTTAACATGGGTCACCGTAGGTTCTTCTCTTTGTGCATCGGTTAAGATCCCGTTCGCTTAAGATCCCGCATTTTCCTTGCTCCTGAGCACTGAGATATTAGGCAGAGACTACTTTACCTACCAAACTAAAAATGATTAATGTGTCCCATTTGCTCATATGACCTTAATATTATGCAGTTGCAAGTGCCATAAAGTACCTACCAAAACTAGATTTAAAAGTTTGTCAGTTTTATTGCTGTTGTTTTTTTTAAATTAGATTTCTTTTTTGTTTTCCGTATGTATTTTTACGTTAAGAGAATTAATAATAAAAATATTTAGAATTCGTCAACCTCATCTTCTTGTAATGTAGGCTTGAGTATATTATTACAGGCAAGCTGAGTGTGCTTAAAACAATGTTTAGTGTATTGTCCAAATTTAAGATTCATTGGGAACATTCCCAAGGAAAGCAACAGCAGCAACGACAACAACAACAACAACAATAACAACAATAACAACAATAACAACAACAACCAATATCATATTAACAAAGGTTGAACAAAAGATATTTCGTAATGGTGACTATGAGACAATTACAAAAAGAACCGAAGATCAGAAAATGAAAACTTGACTAATTATGCTGTGGTGGGATGGGCTTACTGTTGTCCTGGTTGAGCGTATAGATAAGATTAAATTGGTCACACAAAGTGTAGTGAGCTCACAATCATCATCATCATCATCATCATCATCATCATCATCATCATCATCATCATCATCATCATCATCATCATCATCATCATCATCATCATCATCATCATCATCATCATCATCATCATCATCATCATCATGAGTTGCAGCAGCAGCAGCAGCATCTTCATCATCATTATCGACACACACGCATAAAGGCACACACACAGACACACACATACCCCCCCCCCCCACACACACACACACAAAAACACCCACTCACCCACATGCACACACTCATGCACACTGACAGACACACACATACATATTATATTTTTATAAATATATATAATATATTTTGTAGGTGTATAGATATATACACCAGGTTGACTTATGTAAGCGTTGCTCTTTTAATAAGTGTTCTCAAAACAACAGGTGTGACTTAATAATGAGCAAGTATGTATTGACTATGACCTTGATAAACCGTACTATTTCAGATATAAAAGAGTGCACTATTGATCCAACTCGCTGTAAGAACGGTGGAACCTGTGAGGAGCAAGATGGAAGTTACGAATGCAACTGTGCCATGGGCTGGACCGGTACCAATTGCGAGACAGGTAGGCATAACTGAAGAAGTCTTGGGAAAAGCCACCACTCGTCGAAATAGTGAAATTGAAGAGTCCAGCATTTTTGCGCCAGTTTGGCAGTTGTTATTTAGTTTTTGCTTCTTGACTCAACACCTTATAATATGTCCATTTGAAAACACATTTCTATGTGGATTTTACTGGGAAATGTTGATTAAAGGCACACAAATGCTTAATTTTCTTTCTTTTTTTTTTTTTTGGTGAGGTTTCTAAAGCTATAGAAGTCGCCAAATTTTGAGGCCATTTTCTCACTAATTTTAGCCCTGAAACCGAACGACCCCCACCTACTTCCGTCACACATGTCTAGACTTCTATTTCAGATAGAAATGTACTTTTTTCTCCGACAGATAAACGAGTCAACAAGCTTTAAGCTGATAGCAATAACTCCTCATGCTAGAAAATTGAGGAATGCCTGATTCCACTGTGTCGTGACACATATCAATATATGAGTTAGAGAGAGTGAAGGAGAGGTAGAGAGAGAGAGAGAGAGAGAGAGAGAGAGAGAGAGAGAGAGACAAAGAGAGAGAGACAGAGAGAGAGACAGGGACAGAGAGACAGAGAGAGAGAGAGAAAGAGAGAGAGAGAGAGAGAAAGAGAGAGAGAGAGAGAGAGAAAGAAAGAGAGAGAGAGAGAGAGAGAGAATGTTTCACGGAGCGGGTTGTTCCAGCAAGTGAGACATGTATTTACTAATGTCCTGTCTTGTTGTGCGTATGCGTGAGTGCACCTAACCTTTGTAACATCTACTGCCATTGTTAACGATCAAGACAAATTTCTCCCTGCGAGATGAATAAAGATTGTCATTATCATTGTCTTTGTCATACGCTAAATGTACCCGCCCCTCTCCCTAATTTCAATGGCGATTGACCCAGTGTGCTGATCGGGAGGTCAGCATGCGGGTCACAGAGAGGACCAGCCGCCACGTCTTACAGGAACAGGAAACAGCAGGGCTTTCATTGCCATGATGCTCAAAAGAATGAGGGTTAATTCTTTACTTTCACCAATGTTAACTGTGCTGATGTCTCGCACGAAGCACTAGCTTATTCTGTCCCTGTGGGTGCAGTTGGTATCATGCCTCACTGCGATGAGGATGGCCATGTTTCAAAACCCGGAATGTGGCATTCTATTGGGTTGATGGTGGGGGTATCTTGGCTGTCAGCCTGTTGTCCACAGTCCTATCAGAGCTGGGCTTTTGTTCTTACTGTGAAGATTTCATGGCATGTTTATGCAAAATATATAACATGTTTGAGTCAGCATAAGTGTCACATAGTCTGGGGTTTGTTTTGACATTTGAGTATCTGCTATTTATACAGTGAGTTTTTCTATGTGTGTTTTAAGTACTGTTTAAGGTTTTATTTTGGTTTTGAAGATTAATTTTAAGGGAGAGAGGCGTAAAAGCTTAATAAATTTAGAAAAGCAGTGCAGGTTTTATGACAAATGGAGATCCATATTTTTGAAAATCTAAGCGACCTTGGTTTAGAGATTTTGTACAAAGTAGATATAAATCTTTGTCATGTGCGATTTTATAATTTTAAATATTGAGGTACCAAGTCGATTGGTCCAATTAGTGTCGGCATTATCGAGAAGTTGGTCGTTTGGTTGGGGGGGAGGGGGGGGTCAAATGGATTTTAAAACATCCTCTGCTTTTGATCAGGGGATACGACCCCATCCAACGGCAGTATGACTTACATATTAAATGTTGCATTTATTGATATTTCTCAAATACTAAAATCTATGTATGGGTAAAGCAGCCTCCTCTTTTCCTTTTTTTTGGAGGGAAGTGGATGGTTTTTAAAGGCAGGTGTTTTTACCCCCCCCCCCCCCTCCCTCCCCCCTATTGACACAGTTTAGGCCGTTTAGGAGTCGAGCTGAAAGGGATACAAGTTGTGTGTGTGAAACACTCGACAGCTACACCACAGACACTGGTACACGTGTCCTCAACTCTATTCGATAGATGAAGAGGACCACCACAGCACCTGTCTCTGTTCTGATATCTTTTACACGATTCTCTGCCTCAGACATACAAGTTTTAACGTCTATGGTGTTGCTGTTAGGCTCTTGGATGTCGGACACAGAAATCATGAGTTCGATTCTCACATTGGAAAGGGGGGGGGTTGTTGAATACCTCCGTCTCAGGCAGATAGAATGACTAGAGTCAAGAGTCTTTTATTGAAGAAAGGATCGAGAAGCAATATTCAACTACTGGAAAAGCTAGGAAGAAGATCTCCGTCGGTTTGCAGGGAAGTTGCATCCGTTTCAGCCTGGGTTGGCTCTGACAGTCAGAGGCGAAGCCGCCCGCCACATTAGTGCTTGGAATTGTGTGAAACATCTACAGTTCTCTTTTTGAAAATAGTTGGTCCTTATTCTTAGTGCTCTGGCCTTCATAATATGACGCACAAACCATTATCCGTTACACAGTTACAGTATGAATGTTTGTTTATGTGTTAGTGTTAATCTTAAGTACAAAAGTATTCATGTTCATTCATTTGTGTTTTGTGTTGCAATGAAATCATTGTAAAGCTCCTACTGTTGTGTTGTACAGGGGTAGATGTAACATTATTATTGCTATTATTATTCTTATTCTTATTACTTTTACAAGACATCTTTCCCGCTCCCAGCCGGGTACTCATTCCCACTTCGATGAAGTGAGGAAACTTCATACAAAATATCTCTTCCAAGGACACAATTTCGGCCCCGTGGCAAGGTTCAAACTCATGACCCTTCAGTCACAAAGCACAAACAGCACTTCTTTTTTTGCTAACTGCTCCAATTCAGTCTTGAATTATGTGCTACAAATGCATCTAGGATGTAGAGAGATCTAGATCTAGATCTAGAGTCTTGCTCTATAAAAGACTACTCACCAAATAGGCGCCAAATTTTGAGAACATCAATACAACGAAGTAAACATTTGGTTTGGTCTAAAAGAACTCAATGTTTTGGGGACATGGCTACAACAAATGGATCCAGAAAAAGTTACTACAGTGAAGTTTGGCCTGAAGTATCTATCGACTCTGCGAATCACACATCCAAACTGAATTGGATATCGAGATTATAGATCTGGAAACATTAGAAGCAGCTGTCTCACACACACGACGAAGTACGAACCGAAACGGAAGTAGTCCCCAGTAAAATATGAAATGGATAGTGGCAGACTAAAAACATCCGAGAACTTCGATTTACAGGAAAAACCATCAAACCTGAAAAATCAAAAGGTAGTTTCCGAACTTTGAAAATATGCACACGTAACCCTTTGTGGCAATTCTTAACTGAATCTTATTTTTGTTGATTTTATGAGCAGCTGTGTAAAAATGTATACTGACCTCACAAGCGGGCTTAGCTCCATTATAATAAGATTGTTATTATTATTATTATTATTATTATTATTATTATTATTATTATTATTATTATTATTATTAATTGTTATTATTATTATTATCATCATCATTATCATCATTAAGACCATTTATTCTTATTTCTTTTATTACTGCTATTATTATTATTATTATTATTATTATATTTATTATTCATATTTTTATTATCATCATTATTATTATATTTATTTTTTGAAATTATTATCACCATTATTATAACCATTTCAGACATAGAGGAGTGCAGCGGCGACTCTACGCCTTGCCAGAATGGCGGTAATTGTACTGAACTGCCAGGAAGTTACAGCTGTAGCTGCTCACAAGGGTGGACAGGGACCGACTGTGAAACAGGTTAGGAAATGACTTGATGATGATGATGATGATGATGATGATGATGATGATGATGATGATGATGATGATGATGATGATGATGATGATGATGATGATGCTAAAATAATAGGCCTAATAATAATAAATAATAGATGAAATAATGATGGTAATAGTAATAATGAGAATAATGATGATGATGATGATGGTAATAATAATCATAATCATAATAACAGCAACAATGATATTAATAATAATAATGATAGTGATAAAAAAATAATAATAGAAATGATGATAATAATAGTAATGATGATGGTGATGATGGTGATGATGAGGGTGATAATTATAGGGCCTAATAATAACAAAAATAATAATATTAATAATGATAATGATTATGATAATAATGATGATAATAGTAATAATCATATATAATAACAATGATAATAATAATAATAATAATAATAATAATAATAATAATAATAATAATAATAATAATAATAATAACAACGGTATTTATCTTTGTCGAGATAACGAATTATAACAACTGATAACAACTGATTACGACCAGTAACAACTGATAACAACTGATAACAACAAATAACAACTGATAACAGCAAAATAACGACAAATATCAACACAAACGTAATAATTGTATAACCAAAAAAAACAAGCTAGAAAGACGCGCCAGGAAGAGGCGCAAGTATACTCTACTTAATCTAATTACTCATTGTGAGGCAGCGTGGTGGAATCAGGCTCTCCTCAATTTTTGGGCATGTAGAGTTATTGATATCATCTTAAAGCTTGTTCACTTGTCTTTATTTGGATGAAAAAACTATCTATTTATCTTGAATACAAGTCGAGATATTTGCGAAAGAAGGAGGTGGGGGTCACATGTTTTCAGAGGTAAAATTAGTGAGAAAATTGTCGCCAAAGATTAGTTATTTCCTTAGCTTAAGAGTCCGTGGTAACTGAAAATTTACATTTTTTGTGCCTTTAATCAACGTTTTTCAGAAAAACCCACACAGAAATGAGTTCTTTAATGGACATGAAAGGTGTTAAGCCAAAAAACAAAAATTTGATAAAAATTCACTAACCTGCATAAAAATGCAAAGTTTCTTCACTTTGATTATTTTGATGAGAGCCTGATTCCACCATGCTGCCTAACATATACGTTTGTTTTTGTTTTTTCATAAGACAGTAGCGTATGATTATTATTGTGTCGATGTACTTCTCTTTTCTCAAACAAAACATTCCCTGCACTAAATGACCATTATGGTGTTGACCAATCAGTGTGTTTCTCTTTAATCAAACAAAACAAACAAAATTTAAAAACCGAACATGGCGCTCACATGCCCTTATGTAATTACGAACACTGTAAAAAAATCTACTCTATAACTAAAAACCAAACAATGTTCCCTTGGGCTTGATAAATAGAATCCAGGCTCCTTGAGGCCCATATACTGGGTCCAATTACCTGAACTTACCCAGCTAATGGCCAGAGTGCGCCACTGGTACATCATACTTCTTTTCGTTCTATCTGTTGTTTCTTGTCCGTCTGTCTTCCTTCCCCCCCCCCCTTTCATGCAATTTCTCTCATCGTGTCAATATGCATCTCGCTACTCACATCCCAAACTCAGACTTACTCAGAATGGTATCCGGAACGAACTGGGTTTTCTTTTTAGTTGAGTTTGGTTTGTTTGTTTGTTTTTGTTTGTTTGTTTGTTTGTTTGTTTGTTTTGCTTGGGGTCAAAGTTTTGGAGGAGGGGGGGGGGGTTGTTTTTCTGCAAATGTGAGGCAGCGTGGTGGAATCAGGCTCTCGTCAAAATAATCAAAGTGAAGAAACTTGCATTTTTCCGCAAGTTTATGAATTTTTATCAAATTTTTGTTTTTTGGCTCAACACCTTTCATGCCTATTAAAGAACTCATTTAGGTGGAAATATTTCTGAAAAACGTTGATTAAAGGCACAAAAAATGTAAATTTTCAGTTACCACGAACTCTTAAGCTAAAGAAATAACTAATCTTTGGTGGCCATTTTCTCACTAATTTTACCTCTGAAAACAAGTGACCCCCACCTCCTTCTTTTGCAAATATCTCGACTTGTATTCAAGATAAATGGATATTTTTTTCTTCCAAATAAAGAAAAGTGAACAAGCTTTAAGATGATACCAATAACTCTACATGCCCAAAAATTGAGGAGAGCCTGATTCCACCACGCTGCCTCACAAATGTCATGGGTGTTTGGAGAGCACCACATCTTTTCCCCTTTCTTTTGCTTCTGTCAGTCTTACCTTTCCCTCGCACTTCAAGACCGTTGTTGTATCAATATGCTTCTCTTTCTCCCTCTCTCTCCTCTCTTACCTTTTTTAACTCCCAGTGGAGCACAGGCCATCAACAACATTACTCCAGCGAAGCCTGTCATGAGCATCCTTTTCTATCTATTTCCATGATGTCCCCGCTTTTTCAATTTCCGCTTGTACCGCTCGCCTCCATGTCATCTTTGTTCTTCCCTTCTCACGCTTTCCTTGTGGGTTCCACGTTAAAGCCTGCCTGATGATGCTTGTCGGGGGTCTCCTCAGGGTGTGTCCAATCCATTTCCTTTTCTTCACCTGAATATCTTCCTTTAATGGCCTTTGGCTTGTTCTCTCCCACAATTGAGCATTAATGACTCGATCGTACCACTTGCTTCTCTTTACTCGAACAAAACTTCAAACGTTTTCAGACATCAAGGAGTGCTTAGAAAGCCCGTCAATCTGCCAACACAATGGGACGTGTACGGAACAGCTTGGAAGTTTCAAATGCGCCTGCCCCGATGAGTGGATTGGTGACAAGTGTGAGAAAGGTAAACTTATTATTTAGAGTTTATCTTTCTTCTCTCTGTGTGGTAGCTGTTACTTCCATGCTGTGCGCTTTTGCTATTTTATCCTGTGTGAATGAATTATTACTTTTCAGTGAGACTGATGTAAAGCGCTCAGAGCTTATACTCGTATGGGATAGATTGCTATATAAATGCAATCTACTTATATTAAGAATTATTATGAATTATTATTTTTT